GAGGCGCAGCGGCAGTTGCACTCCCACTTGCAGCCATGCTTCTCGTTTTCTCACATGCTCTGGCAGCTAGCGCGTGCATGAGAGATGGGAGGGACTTAGTGCGTGCTTGAGAGGGGAGGGACTGCAGGCACGGCTGCAGTGCAGGGAGTGGAAGCAGAGCGCTGAACACACACGGCTCTTATTAAAACGGCGCTTTCTCACCGGAGTACTTTCCCCCGTCATTCTTAAAGTACCGATACTAATGAAATAAAGGAATCGTACCGTTTTTAACGGCAGGGTATCGCGGTATCTTTCAAGTATCGGTACACCGTGCAACACTAGTCAGGAGTCAGTGTCTCTCCCCCAAACTCACACATATACAATTCGATATGAACTGAAGAGTCACATGAAACTAGACAAAGAGCCGCATGCTGCTCGAGAGCCGCGGGTTGGCCACCCCTGCTTTATAATATACTCAGATCATGCGTCATGACGTCACCGGTGCTTATGAGGCTCTAGCTCCGAACCAGCCCTGGTACCGCGTTGGTGTCAAGGGGCATTAGTTCGCCGGAGCCTCGCAGCGTGGTTACAGCGCAGAAGTGCGCCGCATTGGCGCATGACTGATGTGAAACAACATGTGACTCCTCTGTTTGTCTTCTGTTGGTCGCTTGTTAGCAGACCCTTCACGCGATAGCAGAGCGAACAGGTAGCCTACAGGAGGCGTAGAACGAGGGATCATTGTCCACTAGTCGTGCTCGCGGATGGATACAAAAATGTATAGGCTATACGTGGGAGCCCAAGTAAAGTCTATGTTTTGAAGTGAGAAGTTGTCCGTCAGTCCGTGAGTCGGACCCCCGCCACCTCAAAAACGAAAACTCTTCAGTTCTCCACGAATTACACAAGTCACCCAAATCAGCGTTAAAAAAGCGGGAGGCCCCGAAAAGCGACTAATTTGCATCACTGAATGTAAACAAAGACCATAATACTTCCAAAGCACGTTTCTGATACAGCGATGTTTCTGATAGGACCGTGGGCGTAAAGCCAGCCCACATTTTAGTAATGACGTCATGACCGCAGCAAATCTGGATCAGCTCTGTTGTACCCCCGTTTCTAGAGATGTGGGAGAGAGAGGGTTGTATTTTCTGACACTTCGTGAGTCTCCTGGGGACACATATTTATGTATAAAAGACATTGAAAAGTGCATTTTGCATGATAGGAGACCTTTAAAGGAAATGTTGGACCAAGTGTTGGAGGTATCTACTACTAGTGAGTATGTTGGGATATTTCATTCTTAATGGACAAAATGTCTTAGACAGTAATGACATTTTTTATTGAGATTCAAGGTCCCCATAAATCACAATTATTATTATGATTGGGTCACAGATTCTCCCTGACTAGCAATCTGTTTTTTAGATCACTTTGTATCTCTCTCACCTGTTCTCCACTGTTATTGCACACTGTTCTCCATGTAGCCACAAACATCCTAGCAACCTGTTTGAATGCATTTTTATTTTTCTGCGCTTGTGTTGCTGTTGAGTTCCTAGGAAACCTCGGCATTGCAGCAGATAACAGTAGAAAGCAAGCTAGCAGGGGAGGTAACCATAGAAACGAAAGTTAGCTAGCTGTTTTCACTGCAAGGCTCTGTGCCCAACCTCACAGTGAGCAAATAGCAAATCATATGAATGCAGCTTTACTGTATGCCATGAACATTTTATGCATTAAATATGAAAAGATAAAAAAATTGAACGGTGATAACCTTCATGTTCATCAAACACACACAGCATTTACTTTTAAAAGCACAATTACTGTTAGTTGTGTTACTAACACTAACCAGATCTACCACTAAGAAAGGAAAGGGAAGGAAAAGAAGGAAGGGTTTTAATAAACTCTATTTAAGTTTGAGCCATCTGTCCTTTTGCTTATGTAACAGTTTTACTCAGCTAAAGTAATAACTGACATTTTGGAACGCAGATTCATTGGTGGAGATAAATCTGATGAGGCACAAAGCATAGGAAACACAACAGGTGTAGAAAAAACCCCAAGGTTACCTTTTTACTAACATTAAAGGAAAACATTAAGATCCTTACCCAGGCCCAAAAAAAGTGGTTATTATAATCTGGGTAAACTGTTGGCTCGTTTGAAAGCTGTCTCGTTTCAATGTCTTATCTGACACATTTAGCAATGAAGCTATGTTAAACATTATCTGTAATAACTTCAGAGAACTGCAGCTACAAAAGTATAACCCAAGGTGAAGTATACAATATGTATGTCCTTATCTTAACTTGAAAACATACTGTATAATCTCCACTTTTGAAAAGAACATCTTATTCATGCTCTCTGCTCTGTCAGTTATTGGAGGAGGAATGTGTTAGGAGCATTTTTGATTGCTCGAAAGAGATAGACGCATTTCAAATGAGTATTCCAATGGTAAAATACCACTATAATTAGTTATCATTCCTTACAAAATTACGAGTTATGCAGTTAGGAGTGGCACCCCTGGGTGACTTGAATTAATTTTGAAGAGACATTGACATTGCTCACCTTGCAAAAAACTTTAGATGTAGTTTTTACTTGGGATTCAGCTGAATTAAAAGATGTAACCGTTAATTGCAGTCAAAACAGATATTGGCTGAAGATGGCTCCTGCTTTGAAGATTCCAGGAGAGGGATGGATTCTTTAAATTGGTATAACATCAAAGAGCCCTACATATCAGAGGTTCTGCACACCGAATACTTATCAGTTACGAGACATGAGGGCAGACATGCAATTGGTTTTTCAAGCTTGAGGGAGGACAGGTGGCGCTCTCAGGTCAACAGAATATCTACACCCTCTTCCTCCGACCCTACCTTCAGGTCAATTAAAGTTCCAGGCTTTACATCCGACAAGATTTAAAGAGCACTACGCCAGTTTTTGCCTCTATTTGGCATTTGACATTGAAGAGTAAATGTGGGGAGAGAAGTACAGTATGACATGTGACAGAGGTCGGTGACCGGAGAAGAACTGTCAACATTGCGGTTATGAGGCTTGTGCTGCTACCATTTTGTTACCAAAGGCTCCAACCCCACCCTTCTACACATAAAGGTCAGCTTTCTTGGCATGCAGAGTACTACCCTAATGATGTTATATTAACCCCCTAATCCCACCAGGAGCGTCTGCGCTGCGCTGCGGCGTTTTTAGCGATCGCAGCCACTCTAGTCAATGGGTGCTATTCCACCAGACCTGCTGCGCCGCTCTGCGCCGCGGCTCGAAGCGTCCCAGAAGCTCCTCGCCGCAAGGAATTTCTAAAATATAGGATGAATCCTATTTTTGACGCGCGCAGCGCAGCGCAGGCAGGAAGTGGAACGTTCATCCAACAACTGCGAGGCTGCACACACGACGCTCCGCTTCCGCAACGTTTTGAAACGCGCCTGGTGGGTTATGACGCAGGAGGAGGTCGCAGCGCGGCGCAGTCGCAGCGCGGCGCAGCCGCAGACGCTTCCGGTGGGATCAGGGGGTAAAGGTATCAGTGTCATACACTTGGGCTACAAGACATTGAAATGCATTATAGGAAATGTAGGATCCAGAATGTGTGGGTCATTTCTGGATTACATTTATACTTAAATATGTCTATAGTGAGTATAATCCAGTGGTTCTCAAAGTGGGGGGCGCGCCATAATATCCAACTTGCTTATGGAACGCACGTTGGAGAGAAATATTCCGGGTAGCGGCGTGCGAAGTCCGCGGCTATATCCAACTTCTTTGAAACACATTATTAAATCTCTGCTTCGCAGACAAGCAGTATTATTAATAAAGCCCAACCAATAACAGGTTTAGGCAAATACTAATACTGATATTTGAGAGCTACAACAATCTTTTCAATATTATTATTGATAAGAGGACCAATCTGTAAACATGTACGTCTGTATATATGTGTATACATTTACCCAATAAAAACTCCACCTTATGTTTGTATGTATATTGATTGGGGCATGCCACCTGGAGGGGGGTGTAGGGGTGGGGCTTTACAACTTATTTCAAGAAAGCTCAACCATATGCCCTGTTATGAAAAACTGATAAAATTGTTTACAAATCTATTGAATACAACATATTTGTAATGAATTGGCTGATGTTCCCCTTTAGTTCAGAATAAAACCCGAATCATAATCAAAGATGTTTGATGTGTATTACTGATATTTGGTTATTAATAAATTGTGACCAACATGCTTAGTGAGAGGAACATTTACCCCCGCAGACATTAGTGTCAGTGATAACAAACTATGTGCTGGAGAAATGTTTTTTAATTACCTAAAATATATCTTTTGCAGTTCTGAGCTGACAATTATAACTTTTTCGCCAACAGAATATTTGCAATTAGTAAAATTCAACTGATATAAAATACATCTAAAGAAAGGTGCCCACTGGTATGCCAAAATGTGGAAATTAAATGAAAATGGCATATTGTCTATACGATTTGTTTCAGTGATATCTACTTTATGAAGGGAAATGTTCTTGTATAGTTGAACAAAATAAAGAAACATGTAATAAAGCGTAATATAATGCGTAAAACTGAACACCCACATGGCATCAGGGCCTAACTGTTTCACAGACAGATTTTTGTTCAAAGAGGCAGATGGAGATGTACATCAGCAAAAACGAATAGTCTTGCATACACTTAAGGTCCTATGTCTATCCATACATAACTGAACTTGTTTTGATAATGACGTTCTAATGAAAAATCTTATTTCAAGAATTCTTATTGAGTCTAACTACCTCACAGCATCTCACATTCATTTTGATACTATTTAAAAAAAGAAAAGCCTACTTTAAATCGCAGCTATTCCAAGAACCTTAAACCGTCCTAATGATGGTCTTCATCAGTGAATGGAGTTTACAATCAAACTAATTAAGGAGGATGAGGTGTGGTAAAGAGTTCGACAAAAAGCTGATTAGTGGATCTTGAATGTTTGTTTGTGACCATTACCAAATGTCTGGAAAATAATAATAATGTCTATGAAAACGAGCGGGGAGCATTCCAAACCTACCTCCAAACGCCGGCCTCATGGTGAAGTCATGGTCGTCCACTTTGAGCAGTTGCTCCGTCTTTGTCTTGCGAGCCTTGGTCACATCCGGAGGCTTCTTTGCCAAGGAGCTAGAGGAAGATGAAAATCACCATCAGAGGATGATAATGTTTGATTTAAGATAAGAGATGAAAGCAATGCACCAACACCAGAGAAACCCGATTGAAGAAGAACTGCATAAACAAATCATTTTTTGCACCCTGTTTCTTCGCCTCACCTTTTTAGAGCATTACGGAGCAAGGTAAAACATTCTTCTCCTTTCTTTCAACCTCTTTATTCCACATTTTCATTTGACTTCACATAACTGAAGCTTATCCTTATATCATGGTTGAGAAAATGCAATGTGCTTCAGAAATGTAGAGATCAAGCCTGAGCAGTCACCCTGACTGCAGAAAGGCACCTCCAGAGTGTATTTGTGTCCTGCTTGAATGGTCTGTCATGCTGTGATAATAGTGGGTGGTAGAGTGAGTCTAACAGTGATGGTGGTGGAGCTGTTTGGACCTCATGCTGGGTTAAATCCCCTCTGAGGACGGATGGGTGTGACATGCGTCTCCATGCAGAGCAGCAACAGACAGATATACGTTTCCTCCAGTGAGCAGAGAGACCAGATAAGTGTGGGGCCCTGCCTGCCCTCCATTTTGGGTTCTATAGGCAGTATTTTGGGATGATGTGCACCAGACTCGGAAATTCCATTTTTTTCTAAACTCAAGTCATTTTTTCAATCTCCAACACATGGGGTTTGTGCTTTGCATTACTTTATTTGGATAAAGGTATAATAATTAATTGATTGATTGAAGGCTATTGACATCAATGTCATAATTCACGAGAGGTCTTTGTATGGAAACACATCATAAATACTTCCTGTTCTTTGTAATTGTAACTTTTGTTCAAGATGTTACTTTTTTTAAGTAGCTTGCACAGGGATTGTATCCTTTCTATCAATACCCATCTAGATACATTGATTTAAACGTCAGATTTTGCGACAGAACACTTATATTAAGCAACCTTTTTTCTTGTTCTCTAAACAGATTGGGAGAGCAACCTCTCTAATACTCCAAATAATACTTAAAATCCAGCAGACTGAGCAACAAACAGGCTTCAGACAGCAGGACTGTATGTGTCTCATTACCTTTGCTCTTTATGAAATAAAACCCTTACTAGTTAGGGTCTCAAGAGAGAGATCATGGTCACAGCTAACACACCAAAGCTGACTGATTGGAGGAGCTTTCAGTGTTCCCAACATTAAAGAGAGGTCTCTTTTTGGACCCTGACTTCCACTCTACAAGGTTTGGAGGCTATTGACATCAATGTCATAATTCACGAGAGGTCTTTGTCTGGAAACACATCATAAATACTTCCTGTTCTAGACTTTAAACGAATGACGGATGCCTGTGAACCCTGAAGTCCTCCTGATGAGCAGCTCAGGGTCCTTCGGGCAGCTTCAACACCATCAGTGTAAGAATGAGTTTGGGTGAAGGTCTGGCAGACCACAGATGGTCAGTGAACTGCATTTTAAATAGAGCTTTTCCACTTCTTTTTTTCCCCCACAATTTGACAGGGTTGATAAAAATAAATGTTCAAGACTTCAACATTCAACTTTTAGTATATATAGTATTGCGCACGGGAAGAAAACATGAAATCTTTATGATTGGTATTTGGTTCGGAAGAGATCAAGATCTAACACTCAAGCTCAGTGTTAGAGGGGCACTGGCCATTGCCCCCCCCCCCCCCCCCCCAGAACCGACCATGACAACCCTTCAAAGTGGAACTTGGGATGAGGGTTAGTTATGTTTGGTTGAGTATCTGCCAAGGACACATGGACAAGGTGACTGCAGGGACGACCATCCAACTCCTGAGCCATAGAAGCCTTTACTCCCCCTGATAACACTACAATCCATTGACCATTTAAATTACATTCAATACTTTATTAATTTGCCTCATTTGAACCTTGTTTAAAGGATTTTGTTTCAATGATCAATGCATTTGTTAATTATGTTCCTCTGATTGCATTCACTAACAGCTGCGTGCCTTGTAACAAGCTGTCATCATTCTGCAATAAAGCCTCTTCTGACACACTTTATCGATGCAGTGTACAAAGTTCACACTGCCGATTTTCTCCATACCAAACCAGTAGAGAGATACAAGAGAATTTAAGAAAAGGGTGTCATGAAAGTTTCAAACGTGTCTTTGTGCCATGTTGATGAAACATTCCACCTTAAATATTCTCTTTAATGTATCTTTCACTACCTGCAGGTAATTTGGCTCAATATTCCTCCACATTCTTTTGGTGATTCTGCTTAATATGAGGAATGTAAGTCATTCCAAATGATGAACAAGTGATCAATAAGCTCCACCACTCTCAAGCATCTTAATTAATGATTGGATAGAATGTCCATTTAAACCCGGGATGGGGAACCTCCGGCCCCCGGGCCGTTTACAGCCCGGGAGATAATTTGATACGGCCCTCGAGGTAACACACGCAAAAATATTAAGAAATCTAGACCGCAAAATAATTAAACAAGCGAGTGCCTGTTTTTCCTGGCCAAGGTCAGGGTCCTTGAACACAACACGAGCCTAACCCGTCATCACGTGGTATATGCCTCGTCCGACAGGTGTGCAGTTCTGACGGAGAGCACCAGAACGCCGCTCCAGCACTTCAGAAATTGCAGTACCGATAAGGAGCCGTACACATGCCGCAGTTTGTGCGTGTCTGTGTCTTTAGTTGAAAGCCTAGTGGCAATCTGTTCATCTGTCATACGGTCAATAACTGTGTTGTTATTAGCATCTGGTTAGCTAGTTATGCTAACGAATATAAGAAGCTTTTTCTCCAACCAATGAGGTAAAGGCACATCTTTATATGATCGTTATAGTTATAAAAAAATAAGAGAATAAAGTAAACGGGTATAAAATAATATATGACGGTAAAAAAAGTTGTTATTAATAAACAAGAATACAGTTTGAAAGGGGAGTGATTTGTAAAATATCCATAAAGAAAAATAAATCTGCTTACAGTTCTGTTCCATATGGGTGTTGAGAGATGTATCCATAGATCTCCTGATGTTGCTCTCAAAATGCACCAGATTGATGCTTTTAACTTCAAAATCTTCCCGGGGGAGCATGCCCCCCGGACCCCCCTAGAGGAGATTAGGTCCCCCCACCACTTAAATCATGTTCACATGGATAGGAAACTAAATTGAACACATCTTGTGTCCATATCTTTCTGTTTTGGTGGTCATGCCACACCGTGCACGTGCATGCATGCACGAGTCATGGTAAAATATCTGGATTAAGAGGTTGCTTTTTCTTTGCACAGCATGAAAGAAAGGCCAAATGAATGGGCTTTGATTTTAGTATTTTTAAGCAGAGGTCAATAATTTGCCCTCAGAGGATGTTGGAAAAATTGAAATGGCCCTTGAGAGGAAAAAGGTTCCCCACCCCTGATTTAAACACACACTTTCTCATTACATTTCTGTTTAAATATTATTTTTACTTCTGGATGTCTGCACACACTGAACAAATCTGAAATCTTGACCTTCATTTAATTTTCATTTTATCTTAGTTGAAAGCAATAATATTAAGTTTAAATATATTAGGTTGAACTTAAAGGTGGGGTAGGTAAGAAACCGGCTCGAGTGCACTAAAATGTGAAAGTACACAGCCGAAAAGAATCCGCCCCTTCCTTCAGACTTCCTTACAGAGCACCTCCTCCAACACACATGAACGTGCAATGCACGGCACGCCCAATGAGGGCACGAGATACATTTGTGCGTGCACGAGATGGAAGGCTGACAGACAGGGCGGCAATTCAATCCGCCGGCTAAACGGATTGGTTGTACTTTTTACAGTATCACGGCTTCCACAGATGACATTTTTTATGGATTTTTTGTCAAAGCACTTAAGATATTCATTGCTATCGGGATGTTAAGAGCATTCCATGGAATATAACAAAAAGTGTATCTCGAGCCGGTTTCTGAAACTTACATACCCCACCTTTAATATAATTGCTTTCAACTAACCTAATACAATTACGTGTAATTCATCGACATAATACATTTAATTGAAGTCAACGTTTACGTTTTTCAGAGTGTTCATTCTGTATTTATTATTTATCTCCACTTACGCGCCATGCTTCTGGGTCTCCACGGTGCCGGTCCATCTGCGCACCCTTAGTTTACGGCATTCCCCGGTAACGAGCAGACACAGCAGGAAAACGAGGGCTTTGATCAGATGAGGCATCTTGACAGTGCACATCCACAGGTGGGTACCTTGAAAGCCCCTCTCTCTCGGATAATTCCAGCAGGAAGCAGCCGGCAGCGCATGGTGCTCACAGGGAGGATGTGTCCTCGGTCATGGCATCAGACTCTGCTGCATGAGGAGGAGAGGAGTGTGTGTGAGGGAGGCTACACACACTCATCCTCACGAGAGAGAGAGAAAGAGAGGGGCTGAACATCTGTAGCCTACAAACTCTGGGGGGGAAACACACATATATACACGCACACACACACACACACACACACACACACACACACACACAGACACACACACACACACACACACACACACACACACACACACACACACACACACACACACAGGGATTATTTGCAGCCTGGCATGACACAACAAGAGAGGCAGATTATTCCTCCCTCTTGTAAATAAAAACCTCATCATAGGAATCATGTTTTACTCCACTCAGCTACATGGTGGAGCAGTTTAAACACAACCCCCGCTCCACCCAATACAGGGCCGGGGCCAGAGCTTTTGAGGCCCCGGGCACAAGCCCCCCTCCATTTCTGGCTCAGTTCCCATGTGATTTTTTATGATGGGTTTGGTTTGACAGTATGCCAGTGTCCTTGAGCAAGGCACTGAAGTGTAATCATAATCCCTACATGGCAGCTAAGCTCCGCCCCCGTCTCTGAATAAATATCTGTGGGGGATGTTTGGCTTTACACACACCGCTCTCATGATGCAGTCAACACACATCATTTGAATAGCAGCTGTCAACATAATTTGAACATTTTCTTATACTTTCAATGATTATGCTAAGGCTGGTGAATTTTATATTTTAATTGGTGCCTACTGAAGATTTAAATCTTTAAAATGTACTCACTGATAGTGTGGCACAGTGATTATGTCATTTTGTAGTCACAGAAGTAATCATCACAAGGGCTCCCTCCATCAAAAGCCATTTCCATTGGGTTTTGAAACATTATAGAAAATAAGCTCGATAAAAAACAAATGATATAACACTCACATAAATATCTCCAAAAAAGTCTCTCCAGCTTGTGTATATTAATTGCCCTGTAATATTGCCCTTACATTTCCTTGCACCACTCTAAACACTTAGTAGGGTTAGTTATTTAAGTGTAGTAGCAGAATTAGTGGAATATTCAAAACTAAGATGGCGCCGCAGATGGCTGCTTCGGTGTTTTTTTTTGCGCTCTGTTTTGTCTTGTTTTGTGCATTAATTCAGTGTTTACATACAGTACACCAAACTCTTTCAACAGGTAAGGGCTCCTAAACATTAGAGAAACAACTTCAGCGGATTACTTTCCCACTTTTCTCTGTTCTTCCGTGGAATTATTGGACATTCTTGTAAAAGGTACCCTCACGTGCATCCGAGCACTGAAACGCCACAGGAGAGGGAAACGGGCCGGGACACTCGTGCGCCTCCGGAGCCGTGGACTTCGCACGCCGCTACCCCGGAATATTTCTCTCCAATGTGCATTCCATAAGCAATAAACTGGACGAGCTTCAGCTACTGGTTAGTAGAAACAAAGACTTTTCTTCATCTTGTGTTTTGTGCTTCACTGAGACCTGGCTGTGTGGATCAGAGTCCTGCATGATAACCGAAAACAGTGATTCGCGGGTGGTATTTAAAAAAATAAAATAAATTCGGGAACAAAGAAGATGCGGGTCGGATCACGGGTGTTGCATAATAAATATATAAAAACGATAATAATTTAATGTAATGTTTAAATCCTATGACATCTCCCCTGCGGGCCGGTGCATATCCTCTGACCACTCTCCCCCGCGGGCCCGCGCATAATCATAACATCTGCACCGCCAATCTGCTGCTGAGCACGACACATTCAAAATGACTGAGCCGGTGAAGCCGAAGCTCTCTAGCGGAGAATACAGTATTGCCGAAAACTCTTCATCAAGAGCGAAATCCATTGTCTGGGAGGCTTTTGGACTCATCCTAGATGGAGAACAAAATCAGGTCGCTGGGTTCGCTGCTTTAATCGTGCTCTGTGAATTCTGTAAATTCTTTCACTGCTCATATATATGCGGGTTCGGGTCGGGTTAAGGATCTTGTGCCGACGGGTCGGGTCGGGTTGCGGAACTAATAGGCAATATGTGCGGGTAGCGGGGCGGGTTCGGTATTGCACGTCGCAGGGCGGGAGCGGGTCTTGAATATCAGACCCGTGCAGGACTCTGGTGTGGAGGAATATGTTTTTACAACACATCCTCACTCCCAGGTCGGCCTATGTTGACGTTATGTCAAGTCCCCTGTCGGCTTTTTCCAACGCAAGGGGGGGGCCTTAGCATCCATTTTCAACGCAAGGGGGGGCCATTAGCGTCCATTTTCAACGCAAGGGGGGGGCCCTTAGCGTCCATTTTCAGCTTTCCGGGATGTCCATATGCTTCTATGGACGCTCATGGAAGCACGGCGTTCGTTTATGTCGACTGCCCTTAAAGGCAATGTGAGCGTCCATTCTCATTGGATAACGGATAATTGTACACCCGGAAGTAAGTATTCCCCTTACTGTCGATTGATTTTACAGTGATATCTGCACTACTCATCGACTAAAAAACACCAGATTATCCTTGTTAATTACACAACATTGATTGGTTTAAATTGTGTGCAATGCTTTTGTATTTTTCCCCTTCGATTCGGAGAAACAAATGTTTTTTCGGAGTAAAGGATGGCAGAAGACACTACACTACCCAGAATCCCCAGCTATCGTTTGGACTACACCATGTGCTCTGTTTGACAAACCCCGTGATAGTCCTCAAGCTCTGTGATTGGAGAGTGTGCTCCGAGGGTTACGCCGAGCCTCGAACAGCACTTGAAATGGGATGGAACCACGTCAGACTGTCCAAAACTGGATTTGAACGGGTCCACCGCGTCCCCCCCTCCCCCACCCTGTCCCCAGAACTACAAATGCTGGCTATTCTGTTTCGCAACATGTTCTGTATCTATGGCACGTCTCTACTGGGAGTTGTAGTTTTAAAAGACGTTTTCGTATTTCCCATAATAAGAAGTTGCCAGTATTAAACTGTGTACATCCCTGGAGGTTTAGGGGATAGGAAACACTCACATTTAAAACATATAATTAATAAATGGGTGAAAATTGCTTGTGCCCATAATGGGCAGCATTAATATATATATATATACACACATGCCAGCTAAGGTCAGAAGAGCTTTATTTAACAGCTGGTCTTATGTTTGTGACCCCTGTTGTTAATTGATAACATTACATTACATTACATTAATTGATAAGCCTGAAACATGCACTTGTTAAGGTTCAGAGGCACATTTTGCAAATATGGCAGTATAGCCATCGATCAGCTTAAGATAAGATATACTTTATTGATCTCAAGTTGGAACATTTGCGTTACATCAGCATGTGTAACAGTTACATATGCAGTGGTGTTTATTTGTAAATCATTTAGTATAATCACACAAATTCTGTGTTTTATATTAAACAATTCTGTGTTCTTTATGTATTGATTGTTCAATACCTGACAAGGTCGGAGATGAAATATCTACATACATCTTATAAGAGTATAATACATTATGTATAATATCAGTTAAAATAAGTGCTTCAACATAGTTAACATTGCTGGAGGTACGCACAAATATTGATAGATGTCTTGTAATGCACTATTGAGGAACCTGCGACCCAAGTTTTTCATTCAATGCATAACTACACCATAGTTGTGTAGGCCTATATGATATGTCAATAAACCTTAGAAAATCTTGAAATCTTGAAAGGGATGTGCAAAATAGTCATTATATACAGTCTTTAATGAACTATTAGTAGAGAATAACGAGTAATTAATATAATTTATAGGGATCCTATTAATATCTAATGATAAAAATAATGAAATTCAATAACATGCTTTAACCACTAGGTGTCCCTTTATATCAGGTGTGCACCTTTATGGTGTAAATACAGCCTATCTACCAATTGGATCAAATATAAAAGTCAGCCGAATTAGTGTTGATACTGCAAGGAGACGTATTGTGTGAAAAGAAATGTAAGATGTTGTTTAATGGCTGATATATTTATGATCCACGTCACGTTTTCAGTTCCTCATGTTTGTCTAGAAGTCTTCTCATCAGGGCTCTATAAATACAGAACTACGGCAGATATGTAATATTTAATGCAGCTGAACCGTGTATTACAATGCCGTTATGTGATGACTTCCAAAGAGAAAAGCAAGCACACTCGGAATAAAGTATTATTGTATTTTTTTTCAATGTTTTCGGTCTGTTTCCGTTATTTGTTAATGACGATGTGCTGTGAGATGTGAGACTGGAATTGCACAGGGGAAAATAACGTAGGCTATCTTTAGATGCGGATTTTGTTAAACTAATATGTTTTCGCTGTGGACCAACACTATACATTGACGGGGAAGGGGGTAGCAATAAAGATAACACCATTAAACAGTTACACAACATAACAGAAATAATATCGATAGCAGCGTCCCTAGCAACCACCTTGGTAACAATGAAAACGTTATGGACGCAATTTCCTGAAGTAATCTTCGTAATAACTAGCAAACTAAAGATCATGTACATCCACTGCACACATAATCTGAAATAACAACTCATATTTCTCGCATCAAATGACATCAAAACGCATTTTAATGGCCAAACTAACTTTAAAAATAGGCATTTTCCATCGAGAATAAAACGAAGTTCGGCCATGTTTTTTTTTTCTTCAGGGAGAAATTTGAAGATCACGTGACGTCAAACAGAGCACATGGTGTAGTCCAAACGATAGCTGGGGATTCTGGGTAGTGTAGTGTCTTCTGCCATCCTTTACTCCGAAAACATATTTGTTTCTCCGAATCGAAGGGGAAAAATACAAAAGCATTGCACACAATTTAAACCAATCAATGTTGTGTCATTAACAAGGATAATCTGGTGTTTTTTAGTCGATGAGTAGTGCAGATATCACTGTAAAATCAATCGACAGTAAGGGGAATACTTACTTCCGGGTGTACAATTCTCCGTTATCCAATGAGAATGGACGCTCACATTGCCTTTAAGGGCAGCCGACACAAACGAATGCCGTGCTT